CCAATAAATATTAAGGTGATATGAAGCAGCAAATTCATGACATTTCTCAGAGCCTGTCACCTTCACTCTAGTAGCCATAAGTATCTTCAGCTTTCAACAAGTTTGAAGGTCGTTTGAAACTACCTAGAAGAGACTGAAAGTTTATTCTCACTTAAACCATTTGAATTAGTGTTGGGAAGTAACCAGTTCTCAAAAGTCCTTGTGGGTAACCTGCGATTGCTATGATTATTTCAACCAGAGTGAAATGAGATAATTCAGAAACCTTCTGATGCTGTTGATAAAATAGAAGGGTTTTTTCCTCCTCCAGATGTGTAAAAACCAAGCCTTTGTCTTTTTATGTTCTTAGCAGCAGGACTTATCATCCAGTACTAATTATCAGACATTGACAGGAGTGATAGAGGGCTCTGGTCATTGCTGCTGCCAATGTCAGACCTCCAGTTATGTTGCAGCACTGGCACTTAAAAAAGAAGAGACACTTAGAAATTTGTAGTCAAAGGTCTTGAAGAGCTATGGTAATTGTTTTGTTTCCTTTCTCAACAAAATCTAGGCTGTTATTTTCACCTTGAAAACTTCACAGATCTGGGCCAACTGAAACGTTTCATGTGTGACTTAATTATTACAAAAGAACTGGGGTCTGTCTTTCTTTTGACCTGAACTAGTTTTCCCTACTGTGGTTCTGATGTAGATAGATTTGGGTGGTTAGCAGGCTGGTATAGAATAGCTTCAACAATTCAGTCTTGGAGTCTGACTCTGGTTTGGTTTCTGGCTCTGGGGCCTATGGAAGTCACCCTACATCCTTGCTGGTTCCATTTAAATGTCTTCTCCTTTCGCTCTTCTATCACTTCCTTCTCCACCCATCAACATATTCATTCGGCTTCCACACATTTCCATCACACTAGCATTCCTAATCTCCCAGGCAGACTTTTATAGAGAATGTTCTCCCAGCCATTTTCCTAGCCCCTTGACGGAACCACAGCCTGGATACAAGGAAACCAGTACATGTTCCCACCTCCTACTAGGCAAGTCCTCAACACCATTTTGCATATATCTCTATCATAAGCAAATTAAATAAATATGTATGAAGCCTCCAGAAAGAGTGACCAAGAATGTAGAAATTATTTACTTTCAATGGACTATTGCTGGCACTTAGACTCTGTGTTTGGTCTACAGCAATTGCAATCATAAAATAAATAATAACAACTCTGAGGTCCTAACAAGGTAATCCAGGCTAGTCATAACCTCAGATACAGTTTCAGAAGTAGGTGCTCATTAAACCCTGGGGATAAAGGAAAGGATGGTGCACTCCAGCTTGACCTACAGATGCAGGCAAAACCCATTTTGTGCAAGGATGTCGTCATTATCTTTATTGTGCCTGACTCCCTGCCAGGCACTGTCATTCAATAATTCTGCCAAGTGGTATCTTTTCCTTGTGACAGAGTGCTAAACAGTGATTTATTGCTTGACTACACATTGCTTTCATGGAAGTGATTTGTTTAAAACAACAGTAAATCACTAAATAAATTATTCATTCCATGCTAATTCTTCACTTTTATGTGCTGTAGTAAGCATCAAAATAAGCAGCCCGTGGGGCATTTTATTTTTTCCACATTAATCTTGGACAGTTTAAAGGATAAAAAAAACAAAAACAAGAAAACAAAAATAAAAGGACACCTAAAGAAGAGGATCAGTTTTGAAGAAAATAGATTGCTGCTGCAGAAGGCTGGAAGAAAAAAGAAGAGAGTTCTAACTGTCTTTCTAGCTTGCTTCCTCTCTCCCCAGTCATTCTGTGAGTCAGGTAGTGAGCCCTCTGGCTGGGTGCAGGAATCCTCTTGCATGTCTGTTCCAGGTCCTCAACAGCTGGGCTCCTGTTTTTCTATAGCCATTCACAATGGCCTAGTCCCTGTCATAAGGCCAGGAAGTAAGTGGGTTCTTTCCTGGGAGATTTGCATTTCCTGGAGCAGACAGGGTGTTGGAATTCTAAATTTCACTGGTGTCTTGATTTAGAATTAATAGATTACAAAGTGAGAGGTGCAGCAGTGATGCACTTATCTATGTTTGCAACTGAACTTCTATGTGGGATAGACATATACTTTGTCGCTAGTGTTTCTTAAACTTCTCATTGGAAGCCTCATTCCCTGTGTTTCCATTTAGCAACATGGGAGTGATATTAATTTCATGAAATCTTCTATTAGCAAAGAAGTAGATTTTTGTACATTGTTGGAGGTCTTCACTCTTCTTTCCTGAACATGACCCCTCTGTGTTCTATACTTCCAGATAGAAACAGGGTTGTGTGCTCTGTGCCTGTGGGATCTACAGATGTCTCTGTGAGGATGATACAAAGATGATCCCTGAATCAGGACGATAGAAGAGCTAACATAGCCCATCTCTCAAGTCTCCACCTTCAGCTAGAAACCAAGAAAATCTAGGTTTAATCATATACTGAGGCCAGCTCATTCAAGTCCGTCTCCCCAGTTTGTGAAGTAGATCGAGTGACATGCTGTTTTTAGAAGCTCCAGCTTGCCATAAGAGCTTGAACTGGTTCCTGTCTACATTTAGCTAGGGATTGCTGGTTTCTGTTTATTCTCATACTCTTCCATTTTTTTAAAGCACTCAATTTAAACCTGTCCACTCTGATTTTTCCTGCCAACTGTGGTGCAGTGAGAGCAGGTATCTTCTTTGTATCTCTGACAATACTTAGCAGAATAAATAATATGCAGTGGCTAACTCTTAAAAAATGATAGATGGATGGATAGGTAGACAGATGATAGAGAGATGATAGCTGGAATAGATAGACAAAGAAACCTTGGCATTGGGCTTCTTGAAAGCAAGAAGTATAATTTGAAACTCATTTTCCTTCTCCAAAATGACCACATAGTATGGTGATAGCACTTGAGCTCTGGGCTCATTTTGTTTAGGTTCAGATTCCAGCTGTCCCACACTATTGGTCAAGTCAGTAAGACTCCAATTTTTGCCCAATAAAGAAGGAAAAGAATAAGTATTGGCTTCATAGGTAGTTGAGAAAGTACATAGATTATGTGATTCAAAAAGTTTAACAGAGTGACACCAAAATACTTAATAAAGTAAATTTGTGATAATTAGTCAATTGGAAAAGAGAATTCTAATTTCATTAATCATATTTAATTAAAAAAAGAAAAAGAGGATAACTGAATTAACTAAAATCATTGTTAAGTCAACATTTTTGTCGCTCTGGCAAAAATGCCTGACAAGAGTAACGTAGAGCAGGAAAAGTTTATTTGGGAATCTCCGTTTCAGAGGTCTCTGTACATAGATGGCTGATTGCATTGCTCTGAGCTCAAGGTAAAGCAGCACCTCATGGGAGAAGAGGCCAACAGCAAAAAACTTTCCAGCTTAAGGTGGGGTCAGGAGAGGAGGTGGGCATGGGGCCAGTAAATGACTCCAGGGGATGCTCCCAGCAACTAACCTCCTCAGTCATACCCCACTCAAATAGTTACCACCCAGCCAGTCTATTCAATCTAGGATGGGCTGACCAATTTTCAGCTCTAATCTAATCATTTCACCTCTAAACATTGCTGCATTAATACAGGAGCTTCTGGAGGACACTGCATATCCAAACCATAACAGTCATTACTTAAGGTATTAAAATTGACTTTGTAACCAAAATGCAGCCCTCTCAACTATTAACTCTATGCCCCCAAACTCTGCCACAATACATACTTTTGGGGATTTTGCCCCCATTAGGCAGAGTAGATTTTGAGAATTTCATGGGAAATAGATGAAAGGCCTGGAATTTAGATTTTGATTATAAATCTATATGGGGTATGTTTGCGTCTATCCAGAACAGGCCCTTTCTAGATAAGAGAAACTTAGAGTTGGAAATAGATGTCTGCAGTGTCCTGGCCCACCTTCAGGAATCCCATAGATTTGTGCATAAAAGCTAACACTCCTGAATGGAAGGAAAGAAGACTCTGTAAACCTTTGTATTGGATCATAGATGTGTTTTACAACCACTCAGCCCTAACAAAAGAGGTACATGGCATTGAATTATCTGTGGCATTTAATCCTTCAAACAGCTAAGCTTTCAAGAGGAAATCCAAGGTATTTGGATTATCATTCCTAAAATTGGAATTTGATAAAATGCTCTTTGCTTAGAGTTACTCTGGTTTTTGTGATCCAAATCAACTCTGCAGGCCAGCTGCAGTAATTGCTCATGTAACTAGAAAATGTAGTTAGTGCTTGGAAAAGCCTATCCACAATATAATCACAGTCAGTCAATCAGACCATCAGCAAATACTGAAGCTCTCTAGGTCAGTGGGAGAGTATTATGTGTGGGCTCAGAGAATAACACAGACATTGACATGACCTTGACTTAAACACGAAGGCAGGAGGCAGGACTGGCTTGGCCCTCTAGGTCATATTATGCCGTTTAATCTTTGTTTTTATGTGTGTGTGTGCAGACACACACATATCTTAAAGAGTGTGGAAATATAATAAGATTACTTTTTTAAAAATACTATGATGGCAGCAATGTATAGGGTGACATAGGAGAGGTACTAAGTAACTCAGTGAGACTCTGTCTCTAAATAAAATACAGAATTGGCCTGGGGATGTGGCTCACTGGTTGATTGCCCCTGAGTTCAGTCCCTGTTACCAAAACACACATATACATACACACACACAAAAAAAAATCTGTTTAAACATGACTCTCTCTAACCCACAAAGAGGACTAAGAGGCAATCTGCGCATAATGGCCAAGCAGATGATAACTTTCCTGTCACACTCCTGAGTGTCTGATGAACATTACCCCAGGTATTTGTTGACATTCTAAATATTCAAACTCTCACTAACGTTTCATGTCCAGGTATTCACATAGATTAAGAGCAGCAACCAAGGAGAGAGATGCTGGCAGAGACTCTGTCCAGCCTGGTGCCTGTGCCTATGGGGAGAATATAACCCTTCTTTCTCTCTCTCCCACACATCAAGATTCAAATTTTCCCAATTTCTTTCTAAAGAGACCTAAAATGGATTTGGACCATGATCTTGGCTTGCCTTTCTGCCTAGCATGCCAGTGTTTCTGTCTGTGGGATGTGCCTACAGTCATCAGTGTGACTTCATCAAAAGGGACCCTGGTGCCCAGAGATGTGAGGCTCCCCTTCCACTATTCAACCAGAGCCATTTCCTTCTGGTATGGCAAAGGCACCTGTTATAGGGCTGGAGAGCTGGGCTGGAGCTGATACTCTAAGGCTTATATCATTTGGAAACAAAAAAACCTGAGAATGTTTTCTGGCTTCTGAGCTAAAGTGCAAATTAAAAGAATTATATTTTTGTACAGTGGGTTCACTTTGGGCCTCTGACTAATACACATACCGTGTGTTGGCTGATTTTTTAACTAAATGCCAATTCCTTACACTTGCCTGCACGGGCATCCGTTCTGCTGCGTGGGCAACCAACTCCTTCCATTCAGGTAGCACTTCTGTGACCTGCGACCTTTATGGTAGAGCTCCTCTTACAACCTTGTTTTAATAATACAGCTGACGTCAGGAGGAAGACCACATTACTACGTGTCTTACCAGTGGAATGCGTTTGCCCAAATGAAGCTTCCGAAATACGCTTTGCCCAAGGTATACCCTGATTGGCTTTTTCCATTTCACTACTTTCTCTGATTCACATTGCCCTGCCTCCACTCTGTTCTCCGAGACCCTTTTAGTCTCTCACAGTCAAATATTTCTTATCACCCCACCTCTGTTTCTCAAGCTGGACTTGCCTTACTTTCTTGTTTGCCAGTGTTGCTCCTTCCTTTTTCTCTTGGTGCCCCCCCCCCCATCAATCCCTTCCTTTCTTTCATTATCTCTCTGGAATTCTTGCTTTAGGAGCATCCAAATAAATTAATGGTTTGCTTTTGCTTTTCATTAGTAATAATTTTAACAGAATGCCTTGGTTTTTTCTATAAAGACAGAGACAATTTATTTGGATTCATTGTATATCAGCTCAACATGTGGAACTCATTTCTATCCCAATTTATTGTTACTATTTGTTTATTGAGAGGTGTTGCAATCACATGACAGCATTATTTCTCAATGGGACTTACTAAACGGGATAGTCTTTAGAGTTCTGAAGCACAGCTAATTTTTTAGACTTCCCCAAACATTCCCCTTTGAACATAGTGGTATTGGGAAGTTAAAGACCCTCAACCACTGGCAACCCCATGCGATCTTTCCGGAAACACTAAAAAACTACGTTGATACGGAGCGCCACCTAGTGGAGGTCAAACTGATGTGGGCATTCAGAGCTGCCTGTTTGAGAGAGCACCAATGTATTTTAAGTGCCCAATTTGTTAATGTATTGGCGCTTAATCTTAGAACAAGGGAGATACATGTGTAAAATGTTTAAGAAGGGGATTTTGAAGGTTTAAATAGAATTATAGGTGGACTTTGAGCTTTGGGGTTGAAAAGAAAACCTAAGGAACTTTTTTTTTTTTTGATTGTTCAACACCGTCTCTTTCTCTTATATTTTCATCCTCTAACTTTGTAGTATTCCACCTTCAACCAATACAGATATCTGGACAAGAAACTATGCGACAGACCTAGTACAAGGGCATAGTAGGTCTTCTTTCCCTGGAGAGCAATGATAACAAGTTGCTGACTTCTCCAGGCAGAATCTCTTAGGGGGCACCCACTCTACCCCTTAACACTGAATGGGGGGATGAAAGACCCAGCCATTAGAGGTGATAAGGCACATTGAATTGCACTATTAACTCCAAGGATCTATCTCCATGAGAGTAGCTATTATTATTTTCAGCTGCTAAGAGATCAATGACTGTTGTAATTGCCCAGACCCATGTGTCTGTGTTGGAATACACATTTAAGCACTTCTTCTCTTGATTTGACTTAACTTTTTTTTCTTTAATAAGGTAAGAACTTACAACATTGAAGTTTGGCCTTGGAAGAAAATTGGATGAAGTTTGTAACAGGAAGACAGAGTGTTGTTAAATCACACTTAATAATCTATTAGGAAGGTTCTTGAAAGAGATGAACATATTACCTCAGTAGATAAAACAACAGTTTCCCTCCTAGTGCTGAAATAAATTGATTTCTCTGACCACCCCCCCACAAATGAAATAGTTGACTTGCAAGATTTGTACCTTTTAAAATAAGAATTACACTCAATGCAGGGAGCTGCTCTGGTCCAGGCAGCTTGTGGAATTGAGACCAGTTCAAGAAACTGCAGCTTCGAGGCACTCAACTTGGGCTCATCCTGGGGTGAATGTACTCTTTGAGTAAACTAAATCTGAGCCAAAACCAAATGCTGTTTGCCACAGACTTGAGGCTAGAACTAAAGTCTTTGGACACACATGCTAGTGTCTTTTATACATATTTTATTTCTTTAAATGTAAATGAATAAATTCTGTTGTTAAAACATAGCATCACTGTTCTTCCATCAAATCTGATATATCACCAGGGGCATGGAGAGTAAAAGCCTATTGACTTTGGGAATCCCCAACATGGTAGTTTAAAATCAAAGAAACTTGTGTGGACCCATAGCTGGGAGATTTGGAAGAAAGACATTTTGCATTGCTTGGTCACAGCCATCATACAGATCACGGCTGATAGTGGCCTCCAGTAGCATGCAGCCAATCTGGAAGGAAAAGCTCTACTCTGAATCCAAATTGGCCATCTATCCCCTCCCTATGCTCTTCTGAATGAGTGTGTTCATGGCTCAGGATTTTTTGAGCACTAAGGATAAAATGCAATGTCTAATTTGTCCTGTCCCCACAGAAAATGGGAGCTGATGTACAAGTGAATGGATTATTGGGTCCAGGTGTGTTTTATTGTATAAAGCAATGAGATGTTCCATAACAATCCCATTAGACCTTCAAAAAGGAGAAGTGATCTGTGGCAAAGGCCCATATATTTCCTGGCCTTCATCCGATCCGAGGCTGATGGGACTTTAAAGGAAGTAAGTTCGTTGCTGACCAAAGGAATTGAGACAAACCTGCACGTTCATGCTCAAATCTTCTTTAATCAGCTATTGCCATTTGTCAACTCTTAAAAACCAGAGTTACCCAGAACCGTGTTTACAAAAAAAAAAAGAAATATATATATGTATATGTATATATGTAAAGAATAACCAAGGAGAGAGCTGGGTAAATTTTAATGTTGCCATTACCATTAAGAGCATGTGGTCCTCTAGATCAGAGAGACAGAGTGACAGTCTTCATTCGCTTGACTTACTGGGGGCTCGTTCTGAGCTACTCAAGTGAGATAAATGAGGCAATACATATGAAAGTGCTTGGAGCATTTTGGAGGACAGATACTCTATAAAAGCAAGGTAATATTATTATTAGTATGGATCTGGTTGTCTCCATGGTGGAAGATCGATGTGTACCAGGGTGCAGGGGGGCATGGAGGCTGTTTGATTTGCAACAGAAGACCCAGATGGAAACCTGGATCTGTTTCTAACTTGCTTTGAAACCTTGGGTGGCTGATTTGTCAATTTTTCTTTTCTTCATTTTTTTTAAATAAGGCGCTTAGATTTAAAATATTATCTTCTCAAATGTGTTACTCAGAATAAAATGTCCTCAGTGATGTTCTGCAAAAATTTGGTTCTATGCCCAAATTTTAAATTTAAAGGAATAGACTCCATTATATGTTCCTTCCCTAGAGACTAACAGGAGCTCACTGGTATGCTAAAGAACCTTGAATGTACTCTCAGCAAGAAAGATCTTTAATTCAGCATTAATTCAGAATTTTACCAAAGAGCCCCTACTTTCCTTTTAACATCTTATTAAAAACCAACAATGCTGTTTTCCTACAGATCAGTTATTAAAAATGCTTTAATAGAAAAGGCATAAGATCCTGTGTTAGTCTAAAATCATGTGACTCAGTGAAAAAGAAAGAACACATTTTCCTGAAGACAAGGAAGATTTAGGCAAGATGGAAAAAGAAAGGTGACATTTAAATATGTTTGGCTTTTTAATTGAAACATTTAAGACCACCATCATTTTTAAAAAGGCTGTTCAATGTAATTAGAGTGTATGAAGAGAAAGATGTTCTCAGCCCATGTCTAGAGATGAAAATTTTAATCTATCATTATGTGACAGATTTTCTTAAGTGACCTGGAACTTGATGCATCTGTGCTTCAGTTTCAAATCTACAAAACAAGCATCTCTGCAAGGTGGGATTGTATAGATGATCTGCTTTCGTTCCCCAAAGATGACTTAGTATCTATAGCAAGGCTCATAGAGATTCTCCTGTGCAAAAACTCCAAAGGCACAGACCTATAGATATACTAGGACCAGTTTACTCTTGAAATGGAGTAATTTGAATTCGGGGAGTATATTATATTGTTGAAGAAAGGAAACATGAACTGGGAGTAGTTTTTTGACAATTTTAAATGCCAGGGTAAGGACTCTGGTCTTAGCCTTATAGAGAATGGGGAGCCATAGAGGGTTTGTCCCTCAGTGGACAAAGGAAGGGCAACCCTGGGGCTCATTTGCATAGCTAATTTCATTAGAAAGAAAGAAAACATTTGGATGAACCACCTTTTGTTGAGAGCATTAGTGAAGACAAAATAGAAAAGCCAACTCACCTTGCCTGATCAACAAGGGGGATAAAAGTGGTCCATTAACTGAAAATAGCTACCATTTATAGAGCATATGCTAAGTACTGGGCACTATTATAAGTGTATTAACACATAATAACTCCTTTTACCTTCACAATGCAATGGGGACGCCTGCTATTTTTATCTCTATTTTGCAGGTGAAAATTCTGAGCACAGAGTTCCACCTGCATTGGCTGAATTAAAGAGCCAAGATGTGAATTCCAGTTACAAGGGCTGGGGTGATAGCTCAGTGGCACAGCACTTGCCTAGCATGCCTGAGGCCCAGGGACCCAGCTTTGCAGGAAAGAAAAGAAAAATAACTTGAGCGACAATGAAAAATTTAGTATAGAGGTGAAGGAGAACTTTCCAGCACTAGGATTGTTACTAAGGAATGATAGCCAGATATCCTGAAGTGTCTGAGGACAGAGCCAGGTCCATTTCTGAAGATTTGAAAGAGAACATAAAGGCCAAGAATCTTTCCACATTTTTCTTCTACCCTTGTGATATGTATAGCTTTGTATTTGGAAACTTTTTTTCCCTTTGTTTTTATTTTTAACTTTTGGAAGTTGTATTGTGTCTACTGATTGGGGAAAAATAAAAGGCAGCTAAGAGCATGTGAACAGGTATCCCCTAAAAGAGACAGGGACCCTTTGTTGGGGATGGCAAGCTCTTGTCTGTGTTAGAATCCACTTCTCCATAGTTCTGAACAAGGGGAAAGGGTTTGGAATTTCACCCAGATGCAGCTGCCCCCTGCTTATTATTAAAGGATCTTATTAAGATGCATATTTTGATTTCATAAATGGGCCCTGAAGTTCTGTGTATCTAACAAGCTTGCAGATGGCATCCATTTTCTTAGTCTGTGGACCATGGTAAGAGATGAAGGGTTTTCTCTTTTCTCTCTGTTCCTGCAGACTTTCCTCATATTTGCCTCACATAAGCTTTACCATGTTTAAACTTGACAAATACATCAGAATGATTGGTTCTCCATAGTCATATATATTTAAGACAGTATTCTTCAAATTCTCTAATGAGGACATTAAATTATAACTGAGTCACTAAGCATCTCTCTTATTTTTTCTCATGATCTTACTGCCTGACCTCTCACATGATGAAGAAAATATATGATTAACCCTTATCTAATTATTATTTTTATATATGCAAATGGATGCTCTCTGTCTTTCATCAAAATTCTGATTCTGATATACTTCAGTAGATCCCAAGCTTATTAGGTGCACGCCAGTTAACGCATAAAACTCTTCTTCCCTCTTCACTTCCTGTATCTTCGTGCAGGATATGCATGTCATTAGCACAGATGAGAACCAAGTGTTTGCAGCAGTCCAAGAATGGAACCAGAATGATACCTACAACCTCTACATCTCAGACACCCGAGGTGTCTACTTCACATTGGCCTTGGAGAATGTCCAGAGCAGCAGAGGTCCTGAGGGTAACATCATGATTGACCTCTATGAGGTATGTCACCAGGTACATGTGGTCGCTGAGCTATAGCAGTGACTGGACTGGCCAAGGAAGAGCCAGCACCAGTTGTTGGATCATTTTATTACTGTTTCCATGTGCAGTCTCATTGCACTTGGGAGTTGAAGGGATTTATGGAATGTTTTTGTTAGTTAATTTGCAATCCACAGAACTCTCTGGGAGGCATTCTCTTTGACCAAGTCTGCAAGATGTGAAGGCCCAGAGAGGACTTGGAGAGTGTCTGGGTAGATAGACAATGAAAGTGTTTGCATAAGTGTGTTCCACACATGGCATTTGAAAATAGTTTGACGAGGCCGACAGGGTGCTGCAAGAAGAACCAGTGGGCAGAACTCCTTTATCTCTCTCTGAAGAGTGAAAGGGACAGGGACATCTTGGCATGACATCAGAGAACACTTTTTAACTCAGTGACTTCCCCTAGCTAATGATCTTCCTCTTCCTGGACCAGAATGTGAGATAAGATTAAGAGGTTTTTTCCCTCCAAAATCTGGGAAAAGTAATTTAACAAACCACAACAAAACCAGAGCTTTCTGGATTCCCCAAGGGAACTAAGGCTCTTCATTCCTCAAAATAATACAAATTAAAAATAAACTCATACACTTTGGATCAACCAGTTTTTATGACAAACACCAGTGCTTTAATTGCCTTTTAAGGCACAGTTGGGTAGAAAGAAAGCTAGTATTTGGGGTTGTATTTTAGCCATTTGCCAGTCATATCATGCACCAAGAAGAATTTATAATGGGTTATAATGTGTCATTTTAAAAACATGCAGGATTTAGAAAATAATATCATACCTATATTCTATCTGAGAAAAAAAATCTAAAATGGATTTAAACATGTAGTATCCTAATGTCACAATCATTTGGTGGAGGGTTAATTCAGGCTTTCAAGTAGTTGTTTATATAATAAGAAGTAAGGGAGTTATATCCAGGATGAAAGAAACCAATTTCACTTACAAAACTCAAGCCCATCATTGTAATTCCTCTTAGTGATTTCTGTTTTCCTTCCCCTTCAGGAACTCATAGAGATGTCTTCTAGGAACTAGATTTCTCTGTATGTATAAAGGATGGTTAATAAATGGTCTGCCCAATCCATTGTCCAAGTATTTATGATACAATTATGACAGACTAGCAAGGGACATGATTTGTGTGTATGTATTTAGAAAAAATGTACTGCAAACTTTTCCCACTTTCTATCCTGACCATGTTTCAGGTAAATATAGTATCTTACATCTCTGCCTCAAACTGAACATGTATTCTGGAAAACATTTACATACTCTGGTGATTTAGTTTCAAATTCCCTTCGGATGAAATTTAATTTAGAGGATAGATTTTAGATTCAGGTTGCCTGGGTGAAAACCCTTGCTATACCATTTGTTTGTAGTTTTTAGCCAAATCTATACTCTCTCAGCCACAGTGTCCTTGTTTAAAATATGGAGATAAACACAGGACCTCCAGGATGGAATCTCTCTGAGAATGAAATGAGTTAATCCTTGTACGTGTTGAATGCAATACCTGGAATACAGTAATGCTCAACAAAATGTAGATGACATAATTAATATGTTCCAAAGAGTCTAAACATCAATATAATATTGTACTCTTGTAGTCCTCAAATATGCTCTCATTGTTTAAATGTTCAATACATTTCTATTATTTTGGATTTCTACTTCTTCTCATATTGCAATTAGCATTATGACCATATGTCCTTTTTTTTTTTTGACACAAACTAGTTGACTTCTTATAAGCAAGTATAAATTGTCACATTGCTTTCCTCCTTTGTAAATGCCCTGTGGACATTTAAATTTGAAGTGTGTTTTGTTGAAATGCCATACATTCTCTTCCCTGGATCCAGCATTTACAATGGAAGTGTCTTCAGGTGTCCAGCTGTTGTGATATCACACCAGCCGCCCCAGCCTAATCATCCAGAGTGCTTTCTTGGGTCTAGTTCTGTCTTTGGTCTCTGGAGTACATTTTCTGATTTTTCAGGTAGCTTCCTGATTATTCTCTCCTCTTTTATCAAATCCATTCAAAATAGTTTCCTGATACATTTTGTTTTCTGCCAGAAGTAAAGACCATTTTAATTGGTCCTTTGATAATGGGAAAGATGACAGATCTGAGCAGGAATGACTTTGCAATGTCTTGTTATTTGCGATTGTTTTCATGGATTGTTTTCTGAATTCAAATGTTGGCATGGGTATGGAATTAGAATAGGAAGCAGGGTGACCTCTGGACATGGCAAACATTCCTTTGTTAATCCTGCAGTTCCCCTTTGTGTCTCTCTTGCAGTTGACTCTCTGTAGGGAAACTGCTGCCTCTGATTATCATCACTTTGAGCAGTGGTGTGACTGTATTATATAAAGGTGTTCTGCATCCCGGGGCCGGGAGCGAAGCATCTTTGTTTTATTAGCCTGACAATTCACAGCAACTTGAATTGAAATTGATGTGATCAGAATGGCAGTGCCATATCTGCTGATTACCTAGATACAAAGAATATTGGCGGACACGGAGCCTGGCACAAATGTTCCCTTAAATCTGATTGTTCTGGCTAGCAGGAAGCTGAAAGCCATCCAGCATGAATTTCCCAGTAGAGTTACAATGAATGATGAGAGCTTAGAGATAAATGAAAAGTAAGAAAATCCATACATGAGTTAATAAGGAACAGAGATGAGCATCATAAGAGATGGGGGAGACAGGGATGGAATATACAGAGTGCACATTTGGGGGTGACTAAAGAGGATGTCATTCATTGTTTATATGCTTCTACATGCCAGTCACTTGCTGTTTCTGTACCTGCGATCTCTTGAAGCTATTTTAACAGAGGTGAACTATTTCAGCTATGAGCGTGTAGATGGGTCCATATCTTAGGAATTACATTGTTGATGGGTCCTTATGGGAAATGCAGAAGGAAGCAAAAGTCTCATTAAAACCATTTTGTTTGCACATACATTAGAACCTGGTTACAAATACTCCATCCTTTACTCTAGCTGCTACATGTGTATAGGGAATGAAATGGGAAAATGTTGAGGATAAAGTGTTGGGGAACAATCTCCTGTGGTTTAATTATTAAAATTCCAGAACTTTCTGAGTGTGAATTTGACATTGAACATGTCTCTTGTTTAAGATGGTGAAGAAATGTGAGCCAGAAAAGTTGGCTACAGAGTAAACATATTAGAAATATTTTTGGTTGTTGTAGATGAGATATAATAATAATAGCAAATATTTTGGGGTGGAAATTTTGTACAAAGCACTGTGGAAATAATCTTCCATAACTATACCATTCAATCCATATTTGAACTTTGGAATGTAGAGGGACTATAATCACTCTCCTCTCATTAAGTAAATAGAGGTTGAGATAGTATAACCATTTTTTACAAGGATTCAAAGCTAGTTTGTGACAGAATTAGGACCTAAATCCGAGCGTCTGTAAACTCCTCACTATTAAATATTGTTTCTTCCCTGAAAGATTAGTATCTACACTTGTTTCTGATTGCAGATGAGTAATGGCATCAAGATTGAAAGACATTACAGGGCAGGAAAATTACATTAGACTTTGCCTAGCAGTGGAAGAAACCATACAGGAAGAAGAAAACTATCTGAGGGAATATTTAATACGAAGAGAATAAGCAGTTGATGACTCTGGACCTAT